CAAAATCTTTAAAAAAAAAAAAAAAAAAAAAAAAAAAAGGTCATCACCAAGCCCATCTCCCCTTTTAAAAACATCATGGGAACCAGCAGTTAGCGTAATGGCTATGTCGCTGGACTCCCACGTAGTCGACCGCGGTTCGTGTCCCAAACCCGGTGGCTTAAAAACTCACGCCTGGCACGTGTGCGTGCGTGCCCAAGATCCCGAGAGGAGAATGGAGGAGAAGGGACTGCGGCGTGACCATCCCCCCTGGGGGGTGATTTCTCGCTTTCTGTCTCTATGTCTCTCTCTGGCGAGCGAACGCGCCCTACAGTGAAAATCTCTCCAAAAAAACCCCAAAAAACATCATTACACAATCTCTCCAAAACAAACAAACAAAAAAAACATCATTACACCCCGGTGGTTATAAATGGGTCCCTAAATGCAGAGTAAACGGTAGGGAAGTTCTGATGGCAGGTCCTCCAGCTCTGGGGTTTACTTTCCAAACAGCGACAGTGTCCAAACAACGCTGGCCATTTGTGCGGTCTCCAAGGGCCGCGGTTGCTCCAGCTACGGCTGAACAACGTCAGAGGCACCCCAAGCGTTACTTGAGCCCAACTTCACCGGAAAAGCAGGTATGAAGCCGGCAAGAACGAGGAAGTAGAGAAAGGTACTGTGACTTCCTGGCACCTCATTTAGACAAGGGGGTCGGGAAGGGGGGTGGGGGGACAGAAGGAAGCCAGGCACCCTCTGGGCCGGAAGTCCTCGGCGCCTGCGACCCCAGGAACTGCGGAGACTCGGCCAGGAACAGGCGGAGCACCGACTGGAAGACTAGACTCGGGCCCGTTTCCCATCCGCAGAGTCGAAGCGCGCACCTGGAGCCCAAAAGGCCACCTCACCGGCGCCCGCTCCACGCCCCGGAGCAGACAGAGCATGCGCGAAAGGCGACGCGCGCTCGCCGGCGAGGGGGCGGGGTTTGCGCCTGCGCACGCGCACCGGGACACATAGGCGGAAGTGGCGTGGGGGCACCGGCGATGAGAGCACCTTCCGGGGAGGTGGCTGCTGAGGTGGAAAGTGCAGGAGTGGGAGAGAAGGACGAAGAGGAGGTGATGGCGACGGACCTGGGGAGGGGGAGACGCTCCGTCTGGCTGAGGCGCCACCCGGGCTGGGGTCACTGTTCCAGGTGACAAGCCAGCCCTGGGGTGGGTGTACTCCGGGCCTTTCCAGTGTTGGGGGCCCAGACCCCTGGACCCCCAGGGGAGCTTAGCGCTGCCCGTTTTCCTCATCTAGCGTTCGAAGAGCGACAACGTTGGGTTAGGAGTGGTGACTTCCTTTTTTAAGAACGGAAACCTGGCACGGTTTCCAGGGAGGAGCATCTGCCGCTGCTGGCCCGTTTCTGCCCTCGGGCTGGCGGCAACTCCCTCGGGCCGCTGTCTGTGGACTAGCAGGGAGAGCCATCTCCAGAGGTCTTTGGGCCCTTATCCCGGCCTCTGGAGAACTGTCAGTGACCCCTCAAGACCATTTGCCGTTAAAAACCACTTCTGGATTCTGTTAAATAAGGGCCCTCCATGGTCCTCTTGTTTTGCACAGGAAGGCCATCGGTTTTGCAGGGTTGTGTCTTAGAAACTTTCATTAGAATTCTGCAGGACTCTTCAGTCTCTGCATCTGATTTCTCTCCCTCATCTTTTAATTTTTCTTTCAAAGGAGTATTGAAGTAGAAGGTGAAATGATTTGATGTGCTTTCAGGTTTTTGTTGTTTTTTTTTTTTTTTTTTTTTTT